ATATATATATATATATATATATATATATATAACCTTATAGTAAACTGACAGTTATCCTTAAAACTGGATGAGATCCCAGGCTGAGTGTGACCTACAAAACAACTGATCAAAAATTGCCATCCAATTAGAACGTTAATAGGACAAAAACAGACCCTATTAAAACATGACCCATGACTATAGTATTTAAATTACATTACCTTTAAACTAAACTGATCCAATGAAGTTCTCTATCTTCTATCCTGGGTCTTTCTCTTTCAGAGTATATACCTCTAAGCCTATCACTCAAAGGACCCTTGGCCTGAATGGAGTGGCAGGATTTTGGTTTAAAGTAATACAAGACAGACAAACAGACAAGAAAGGTGTTCAGAAGTAGGATTTGCTTGTAATATATTCTATAGGCTCATTCACGAAAGATGCTTTTCACCCCAATAATTTGCAATGTTTTCACAAGGTTGGAGTTGTCCAGTATGGAGAGGATGCTGTCCATGAATTTCACCTGAATGATTATAGGTCTGTAAAGGATGTGGTAGAAGCAGCTAAACACATCGAGCAGAGAGGGGGTACTGAAACCCGAACAGCCTTTGGAATAGAGTTTGCTCGGTAAGCCTAATTTCCAGATTCTGTTCAGATGAAGAGGGAATTGGGGAGTGTCTTAGACAGGCATGGAATTGGGCAACGATGGAGCTTAACAGTTTAACCCAGGACTGGTGGATCATGAACACATTCTGATTCAAACACATCATAAGCAGACAGCAAAAACAATCATGCATTAATATGCATGCAAATTCTCCAAAAAGGGGGCAATAATAATTCTCCAAAATCCTAATGCCCAAGGCTTGTGAGATAACTCTAAGAAAATTAAACATTATAGTATTGCAACACTAATATGCACTATACCATAATTTAGAGGGCGCTGAACCTATTTTGCTACTGAGAAATGTTAAGACAAGGCAGTGATTAGAATAAGATTAAAGAATATACAGCCCAGAATTTGCTTCTGCCCCAAAGCAATTTTAAAAAGGGAGTATCTCTGAGTTTATGTAATGTGAATTTCTTTCTTTCCCTACTTAACATATTGAACAAATGAAAAGATATTTTTCCTCTGAAAATTATGGAGCATTCTAATTGCAAGCAGTTGCAACCAAAGAACAATAATAATTCTGTTCTTCACTTGAAAATCTATACTTGTTACATCTCATGATTTTTGGAAAGAGCAGGTTCCTTTGTAATCTTTATTTTGTAAATTCTCAATGCCCCCAATTGCAAGAACCAAGAGAGTGGTATGTCTATGGGGATTCTAAGTCAGTCAGTTCATGGTTGTTCCAATGCTGCTTTTTAAAAAGGCAACTGGACTTCTTTTTGTTTTTCCTTGAAGACATTTTGCTTTTCATCCAAAAAGCTTCTTCAGTTCTGTCCACTTTAGTCAGAACTGAAGAAGCTTCTTGGATGAGAAGCAAAACGTCTTCAAGGAAAAACAAAAAAAGTGCAGTTGCCTTTTTTAAAAACACTTTTAGGACAAGAGAGTGGCAGACTGTTCTTACAGGCAAGTTCTCCATTCCTGTCTTTTTCTCTCAGTCTTTGGTTTACCTTCTGCTACGCCCTCCCCAGAATTCAGATAGCCTTAAAAATGGCAGATGATTATAAAAGATTAACAAAGTTGGAAGGGACCTTATAGGTCATCTAGTCCAACCCCCCACCACACTGAAGCAAGAGACCCTAAACCATTTCTGACAAATGGCAGTTCAATCTCTTCTTGAAAATCTCAAGTGATGAAACTCCCACAACTTCTGTGCAGGTTATATAAAAAGAATATAACATGCACGTTTCTTTGTCTCAGATCACAGAACAAGAAGAGATTGAGAATCTAATATAAACAAAGTTTGGAGCCTTGGATAAATAAAGGGACTTTATTATCTCTAAATATTCTTTTGCTCTAAAGGAAATGAGCCAGGGCAATAGAAATCCCTTTTAAAGTACTTTGTTGTAAAATATCCCTTCCTGCTTTTGTAGAGCAATGCCTCTTGGCTTTTTTCTCCCTGTTGCTGGTACTCAGAGGAAGATGCACTTGCTTTTTCAACAAAGCCTGGAAAAATCACAGGGACCATGAACCCAAATGCACTGAGATCCTCCTTGAAAAGTAGCCATTAATTTGCAAAATGCCACTTCTCTCACTATCTTCTCTACATCTCTTGAATTTCAGCTCAGAAGCATTTCAGAAAGGAGGAAGGAAGGGTGCAAAGAAGGTTATGATTGTGATCACCGATGGAGAGTCTCACGACAGCCCAGATCTTGAGAAGGCAATTGAAGGCAGCGAGAAGGACAACGTTACCAGATATGCCGTGGCAGTAAGTCATTTATGGGTGCTGCACACTTTCTGCCTGGAGTCTTCAGAATTGGTTGAAATGGCTGTAAATTCAGAGTTCACATGCTAGGAAAAGAGGGGAGCCCTCCGTTTTAAAATAGGTGGATAACCAACCAATGGGTGGATAACCAACATGACTGAAGTGGATCACGTCCCAGCCCATTTTAACTCAACTTCCTGCTTCTTGCAAAAGCCATCCAGATGCCTCTGGGAGCTTATACTCAAGAATCAGACATTTCCCTCTCTCACACGTTCCTTGCAACTGGTATTTTAGGGCTATTGCCACCACCACAGAGGTATTGTTTTTATTTATTTATTTATTTATTTGTTTGTTTGTTTGTTTATTTATTTATTTATTTATTTGTTTGTTTGTTTGTTTATTTA